GTATAAATTTCATGCTTAACGACTACAAGCCCTCGTAGCAGTTCAAGCATGAAATCTATACGCCAAACGCCAACTTCAAACGCCAAATCTTAATTTACTGCTTTGGTGAATGGCATGACTAGTGGTTAATTTGCTTTCTTAAATCATTGCTAAAGAGCACAAGTTTAATAAGTTTAACATATTTCAAAACTGGTGTAAAAGCTATAATAATAGAGTTGTAAAATCAAAACTTCGTTAGCGGTTTGACGTTTGCCGTAAACGTCAATCTTAAGGTCTCTAATATCGAGAACGAACCTTCGCTGAAAGGTACCGATGTTCCCCCGAGCAAGAAATGGCCGGAAAAAGGTTTGATGATGTAGATATTGAACTAAAATGTACGCTTTTTAAGACATTCCAAATACAGGATGGCTCCATGGATCCATGCAGTGTCACTAGAAAATGAAGCCTAATATAAATTAAACTAACTTTATTTATACTGGATAACTCTATCAATTTAAAACTGGTCTCCCTAGAGGTCCAGTAAGGGTTATCTCTTAATGATCCAGTGTTACTACAGGAGGAAACCGTATTTTTCATTGGCGTGGCTAGCTAACCCTTGTTGTTATACAATTTTCGTTCTTTCTCTCCTGTGTAGGTGAAATTGTTTTGAAAGATTTAACCCTCGCTTACGCCCACGAGTTACCTCCAGTGGTCAAAGACGTGACAGTCAACATTAAGGCTGGTGAAAAGATTGGTGTCTGCGGTCGCACTGGCAGCGGTAAATCAACAATCACTTTAGGCCTGTTTCGAATGTTGGAGCATTTCGAAGGTCAGATTGTGATAGATGGTATAGATATATCCCAGATGTCTTTGCGACCTCTGCGTTCCCGATTGGCTATCATTCCCCAAGACCCGATCCTGTTCCAAGGCACTGTGAAGTTTAACCTGGACCCGCGTGGAGTACACGAGGATGACGCGTTGTGGCACGCACTCGAGGTTGCTCAACTGAAGAATGCCATTACCGCTTTGTCCGGAGGATTGGAGGGTGCCATTGTTGAAGGTGAAGTTTCATTTTTCTTACCATTAACTGTGTTTATCCAAACCCACCCTGTCAACTTTCCCTGTTGGAGGAAACCGGAGCGCCCGGAGAAAACCTACGACTTTCGGCAGAGCGTTGACTCTTTTCACATGAGTCCGTAGCGAGAATCAAACCCACGATCTCAGAGGTGAAAGGGACTTAATCCAAATAATCCTAATCCTCGTGTCTGCGTTTCTGTGTTTAGGTGGCGAGAATCTTAGTGTTGGTCAGCGTCAATTGTTCTGCTTGGCCCGCGCACTGTTGGTAGAGTCCCGGGTACTAGTGATGGATGAGGCGACAGCGAACGTCGACTTAGAAACGGATAAGTTGATTCAGGAGGTCGTACGAAGTGCGTTTAAAGATTTCACCATCTTGACGATAGCACATCGTATTGACACAATCCTAGATTCAGATCGGATCATGGTGTTGGATCAAGGACGATTGATTGAGTGGGATTCTCCGGAGGCGTTGCTTGCCAATGAAGATAGTGTGTTTTCCTCACTGGTGAAAGCGCATAAGTAAGATTATTGTAGACATGAAACGGCGCTTTAGCCCTTTAAGGTGATGTTATACTACTTTGCTTTTCTTGCGCTTTTGCTGCGAGACGTAGGACTAGGATATTAAATATAGGATATTTATGTTGTACATTTGTAAATAAATACACAAAAAGAAAACATATATTGTTGCTGTTGAAATATTCCTAAAAAGTTTCAGATTCAAGTGGAGGGGTGCTATAAATAGGCCTTTTGCATGGACGGATAGCATGGAGACAAGATTATCAAAACAACGAAAAGACAAAGGAACGTTCGGGACATAGAATCATGATTGGAAGGCACTCTTGTTATGTTAAATGTTATGCCAAAGGCCCTTACCTGCAACTTTTGGCTTCCCACCGGCTCGTGTGCATAATTAACAACCAATTATACAATTGTTAGTTACATGAAGTATTTCAAAATATGCCAAACCGCGTCCCTTAGTTCTGCAGGCACACAGGAACTGATTTCTCATCCGGGCATTTTGATGCTAATTTTAGCCTCTGGAAGAAAAGTCTGAAAACGTGTTGAGATTGTGGTCGCTGTTTGTGGCTAAATTTTGGCTTTTTTACAAGTTCTATTGCCTGTTTTTGACAAAATAACAACATGGGAAGGAAAAAGAAAAAGCCCATGAAGCCTTGGTGCTGGTATCCTTTGAATATTCTCATATTTAGTGCGTTTTTTTTAGTTTTGAAATTTGTCTTCACCGGTTTCAAACGGCTTTATATTTTGAAAATTTTATTATATGTTCTAGTATAAATATGGTAGAGGTTTTTAAAACTAAACGTGGAGTTATGGGTAAGTATATTTGTTATAGTACATGGCAAAACTTTAATACATAAGTAGGGAAATATATAAATATGGAATTTTCTTTGTATAATTTTGTATTAAAAAATATGTACAGATTTGTGAAACGAAAATGGCAGTGGTATTATATTTATTTAAAAGAAAATCCATGAATGTTTTTAGGGTTCGGTTCTGGTCAGAAACTGATGAAAAAAGCATGGCTAGAACCGGAACTCTTTGTTCACTAGGAAAAGGTTCATTTGTTGATGAACATTGACCAAATGGTTTAGAATTGATAGAACAAAGTGGTCTAAATATTAAAAGCCAGTTTAGTTTATTTTTAGCCTGAAAGAACGTATGTTCCTTAATATAGACCACAGGTATTGTAACAGGGAGTTTGATGATGAAAAAGTGCTTATTCAGCACCAAAAAGCCAAGCATTTCAAATGTTTTATTTGCCACAAAAAATTGTACACAGGTCCTGGTTTAGCCATTCATTGCATGCAAGTTCACAAAGAACATGTTAGCGCCATACCAAACTCATTGCCGAACCGAGGTGACCCTGAAATTGAGATTTACGGCATGGAGGGTATTCCTGACAAGGATGTGAAGGAAAGACGACAGAAACTTGCACAGATGGCGCAAGGTGGCGATGACGATGATGACGAAACTGGTAGGTTTTGGTATTGTTAGAAATTTGCAACAGAAAAGTAAATGGATAAAGTTTGTATCAGAAGGTCTAAATTAGTACTTTGACAATCTTATATACAAAATTTCATCCATTTACTTACACACCCATTCCACCTTCTTTCACTCATACCACCTCCTTTCACCCACTCCACATTCTTTCACCCACTCCACATTCTTTCACCCACTCCACCTCCTTTCACCCACACCACCTCCTTTCACCCACTCCACCTTTCACCCACTCCACCTTTCACCCACTCCACCTCCTTTCACCCACTCCACCTCCTTTCACCCACCGCACCTCCTTTCACCCACTCCACCTTTCACCCAC